CTGCATGTGTTGATCATGCGTTCGGGAAATGGGCAGCCTGCTTACATGCCTTCACTGCTCTCGTACCATTCTCTTGTTATCTCCTCAAGCAGTTTCACCTTTGTATTATTTCACAGCCACACTGTTGACAAGTGCGTTGAGCACAAAAACATACCTGTTGGAATTTTCTCTTCTGTGAAAAATAACCGTAATAGCCCCAAAGCAGCTATCTCTTTCTTTTCCAGGAAGTTCAGTATTTTGAACATCTCTTACTTATACAACCACCTTCACATATGTCCTACTTATTCTACAGTATCATTATGCATTCATAGTGGTTCATAGTCTCTATTTTGTTTACCAAACTCTAAAGTCGGCTATACATGGATTGAAATTGGGACGGTTCAGCAAAGACCAGACAAATGTTGATCCATGTATGGGAAGGCTCGTTGTACACAAGCCTATTGGAAAAATGTTCTCTTAATTAACGTGGCTGGCTATAGTCACCAGTGCTGATCAGTTTATTCTGACAGCGGGAAAGTCTCCCAACTATCAAATTATAACAGCTCAACGGGAATGAATCCCCCATCCACACCATCCATTTAGGGCAGTGGTCTCCAAACTGTGGTCCAAGAGCCAGATGCGGCCCTTTGCTTGCTTTTATCTGGCTCTTGGGGCACTATTTTATCCACTAATTCCAACAGTGGGCCATAATTCCCTCCACTGACACCAGTGAAGGGACCCAATTTCTCCTAATGATGGGGCACAATTCCTCCTACTGACACCAACGCTGGGGCATTGTTTCTCCCATTGACATTATGGCTTTTTCTACTCCCAATGGCCACAGTCTGGCCGAGCTGTAAGGACAGTAAACTGGCCCTTTATTTAGAAAGTTTGGAGACCCTTGATTTAGAGGTTTTTTAATATTTTCCCAATCCAGCCCCATTATGGCCGAATAGTTTCTGCCTATTTTACTATACATTCACCGGCCACTTTATTAGGTACACCTCGCTAGTGCTAAGAAAATATCCCCCACACCATTACACGTCCAGCCTGAACCATTGATACAAGGCAGGATGGATCCATGCTTTCATGTTGTTTACAACAAATTCTGACCCTACCATCTGAATGTCACAGCAACCAGTCTGCCCATTCTCTTCTGACCTCTGACATCAACAAGGCATTTTCATCCACATAACTGCCGCTCACTGGATATTTTCTCTTTTTTTACCTATTTCTCTGTAAACCCTAGAGATGGTTGTGCGTGAAAATCCCAGTAGATCGGCAGTTTTTTTAAATACTCAGACCAGCTCATCTGGCACCAATAAACATGCCACATTCAAACTCACTTAAATCCCCTTTCTTCCCCATTCTGATGCTCAGGTTGAACTTCAGCAAATCGTCTTCGCCACGTCTAGATGCCTAAATGCATTGAGTTGCTGCCATGTGATTGGCTGATTAGCAATTTGTGTTACCGAGTAATTGAACAGGTGTACCTAATAGAGTGGCCGGTCAGTTTATTTTATTTCAGGTCATATATTAGGTGGTGCAGTGCAATTTATTACACATAAATACATTATTATTATTATTGTATTATCCACTTGCTGAACATCCGCTCACAAAGGCACTGTCACATACCTGTATATCGGTACCTTCTTCCCCCAAGACTCCTGCTGTGATTGGACTCCTCCTCCTGCTGTGATTGGATATAGCGGAATTTTGTCAGCAGGTTTCAGCCAATGATTAATGGCTGAGACCTGCTGATTGGCTGTGTCCAATCACAGCCCAGAGCCCTGTGTTGACACACAACACATGGCTCTGTGCAGAGGGAATGATCTGTGTGTTTCTTGCAAAGCAGGGAGAAGGAACAAAAACATTTTTAGTCAAAAGCAGCACATATTACACACATTTGTAAGGTACACACTTAACCCCTAATTACCCAGAGATGTTAACCCCTTACCAGCCAGTGTCATCAGTACAGTGACGGTGTACAGTATTATCACTTATCACTGGTGATGTCAGTATCAGTTAGTCAACTCCCCACTCAGTGCCAGTTATTGTCAGATTCCCTTCCGCACTATCACATTCCCATTATAAGTCACTGATTTTCTGTGATCCTACCGTCATGGCATGCCGTAACGACTCCCTGCTACCACCTGCACCATCCTGAGGTCATCAACCCTTACCTGCCATGGTGAAAATCGGTCACACCGTATCTCTTGTACCATGTCCCTAGTCTCTGACACTCATATATCATGTCTGCAGTCTCTGAGTATCCCTTGTACTCTCTATGCAGTCTCTGACTTTCCCCTGTATTCTGTCTGCAGTCTCTGACCTTCTCCTCTATCCTGTCTGCAGTCTCTGACCTTCCCCTGTATCCTGTCTGCAGTCTCTGACCTTCTCTTGTATCATGTCTAGAATCTCTGACCCTCTCCTGTATCCTGTCCGCAGTCTCTGACCGATTCTTGTATCATGTCTGCAGTCGCTAGCCATCTCTTGTATCATGTTCGCAATCTCTGACCCTCTCCTGTATCCTGTCTGCAGTCTCTGATCATCTCTTGTATCATGCCTGCAGTCTCTGAGGATCTCTTGTATCATGTATGTAGTCACTGACCTTCCCCTGTATCCTGTCTGCAGTCTCTGACCATTTTTCGTATTCTGTCTGCAGTCACTGACCATCTCTTGTATCCTGTCCACTGTCTCTGATCTTTTCTGTATCCTGTCTGTAGTCTCTGACCCTCTCCTGTATTCTTTCTGCAATCTCTGACCTTCTCCTGTATCCTGTCTGCAGTCTCTGGCCTTCCCCTGTATCCTGTCTGCTGTCTCTGACCTTCTTCTGTATCCCGTCCACAGTCTTTGACCCTCTCCTATATTCTGTCCGCAGTCTCTGACCATCTCCTGTATCCTGTCAGCAGTCTCTGACCATCTCCTGTAACTTGTCCACAGGCTCTGACCATCTCTTGTATCATGTCTGCAGTCTCTGACCATCTCTTCTCTCATGTCTTTAGTCTCTGACCATCTCTTCTCTCATGTCTCCAGTCTCTAACCATTTCTTGCGCTGCCAGAACGGGGGTTACAGGAGGAGTAAGATGTGTTTGGACTATGGAGAGGAGAATATAGGATGAACCGCCCAGATGAAGTCCAGAGAAGACCTTCTGACTGAGCCCTGCATGGTGCACCGGAGTGTAGGTCAGTGACAGCACCGCCAGGTAAGTCTGAGGGGGTTGGGATCACTAATGTAAGGGGGGAGTGAATACAGTAAGGTAAAGGGAGAACTGATATAAAGGTTCCCCCTTATATCAGTAACCCCCCCTTACCTTACTGTATTCACTCTGCAGAAGGTGGTCTGTAGTCAACCCCCACATCAGAGTTCCCGGAGTTCCCCCTAAATCAGTGTCCTCAGAGTTCCCCTTTACATCAGAGTCTGCAGGATTTCCTCTTACAGTGCAAGGGGGAACTCTGTAGACCTTGATGTAAAGGGGAACTCTGATGTAAAGGGACTTTGATGAAAAGGGGAAAACTGTGGACTCGCATGTAAGGGAAGCTCTGGTTACCAGAGACCACCTTGTATCAGAGTTCCCCTTTACACCAATGTCTGCAGCAATCTACCTTACATCATAATCTGCAGAATTCCCTTTTACATCAGAGTTCCACTTGCAGTATAAGGTGGAATCCTGCAGACTCTGATGTAAGGAGAAACTCTGTGCTGGCTGGGGTATATTAACCTGGCCCTAATGTAAATGGAGAAACATGTTTTTTTTTACTTTTTTCATAACTTAAACACATGTTTGTAGCTTAAATATTGATAGTTTCACTGAAAACGGCCATTTTATGTAATTTGTGTCAGTAAAAAATCTGGCTCTGTCAGTAAATTTCATGATTTTTGTCAGTAAGAATTTGGTCCTGTTTATAAATTTTGGGTGCCCTGTCAGTAAATTTTACTTCGAAGGTTTGGCAACACCGGTGAAGACCTAAGTTTCTGTTTCCAGGATGCTGATCCCATTGACTGTCCAATATTTGATACCAAATAACAACCTCTGCCTCTTTTGTTATGTTTGTTTGCCACCTGTCTTGATGTCTTGCTTGTTTGACTACCATCGTGTCTCTTGATTCTATATAATGTCTCATTGTTGCCAGTCCTGGTGTGTCTGGGGGCCACAACCTTAGAGCCATCCACAGCTGATTACTGCTTGTAAAGGATCTCATAGTTGCCAACATTTAAAATAATTAGGAGGAACACCTTGTTTTGTGTAATATCTTTTCTGTAAATATTTTCCTTGCACCATTTTTCTGTTCCTTTCTTTAAGTCTTGGATGACACTACTTTACTTTTGCAACTCAAGTCACATCACAAGTCGTACAAGAAGTTTGGCTATGTAAAAAATCAGTGCGCTGGCTTGCAGACCCTATATGGAGATTCGTGGATGGTGCATCTTCGTAAAGCAATTTTGACCATTTTTTAATTTTATGATCCAACAGATTTGGCAAGAGGCCGCTACCATTGGTGATCACAGTGGGGGAGCTTTTCAAGTATACAAAATGTGCATTATCACTAATAAATGGACCAGTTATATAAATTCTTTCTGCACAAACTTTATTTTATGGAGTGATTAAAACTGCATAGACACTCAGGACGTCATTATTTATTAACATATGGAATGTGTATGGACTTTTTCTATATGATTTTTTAAAAAAGAGAATTAAATTACTGAACTCTGCTTTTATTTGATTTAATTCATCTCGAATTTGTATCACAATTACAAAGTGGCTGCTGGTACACATTTTTTTAATTTTGATCCAGCACGGATTTCATTTTTTGATAAGGTTTATGTAACAAAAAATCAAACATACATACTCACCTCCATGCTGCAGCATCACTCTGCCCCCTGCTGACCATACGCCTGGGAACTGAGCAAATACATGACAGTTGATCGTTCAGTGCAGGGGTGGACTGACAACTTATGGGGCCCCTAGGCAATAGGGGATCATGGGGCCCCTGCGTCCTCACCCACACTCAAACCACACCCTAAAAAGCCTATGAAAGATACCAGGGGCATCTCATGGGACCCCCTACTGACCCCAGGCCTCAGGAAGTGCCCAAGTTCCAAAATGGTCAGTCCGCCCCTGGTTCAGTGCTTGGTCTTCTCAGAAAGGAGAGCAGTGACTGTCAGTCACTGCTCTCTCCCCTACCCTTTCAACGTTCAATGGAGCACCTGGCTGGAGAGGATGCAGCTGGCTTTGGCTCGCAGCCTTGTGCTGAGAACCGGAGCCAGCTGTCAATCAGGTAGCTGGGTGGATCCTGACAATATAGTTGGGATCCTTCCAGAACCAGGTGCGGCTCTGTGAGATCAGTGCAATAGCATGCTATTAGCTGACTTTGGGTCACAGGAGAGCAAAAGAAAGTGCAATCCTGTGACCCAGAAGAGAAGTATGGCAAATAAAGCTTTGGCGGCCTTACTTCTCCCTTAATCTAATTGTGTAATTGGTCTAATCAGAAACCAACATGTTCTTGACTCTGAAATAATTAATTTTTAATATTTTCATTTTAAACTGTCTGGCAGGGCAGTCGGTGTTGCAGACATTTCTTAATTTTTCAAGGTCAGAATTGCTATAACGGATACTGTGAACAGTCCATGTTCCTGTTAAAACATGGTGGCAGCTACTGTTTGTGTGTGTAAAGAGTTACCTGCAAAGTCAACCAACCTCAGTGACAATTCCTCTCTGTGTGTTGGCGCTTACAGTATATTGTTGTCCTGAGAGCTGGAAAATTTCTGTGCATGGCAGGGCTGAGAGTGCAGCCATTACAGTCAGTGGCAATGTTATTAACAGCCACTCTGCACTGACAGAACACACATAACTGCTCACATCTGAGACATTTTTGGAAAGGTGGGTACAATACAGAGCTACGAATTGTAACACATAAACAGTTTGTAGAGGCAAAGAAATATTTTTCAGGAAGCTGGTAATTAATCATAGCAGAACATACCGACATTGGCCTCTTTGTATACATGGCATATGGACAGACTCCCCACACCCCGGTATGCTCAAAGTGGCCCACAGACTAATATCTGCAGTGTAGAACCCAATGCAGTCATCACTGCTCCATCCAGACCTCTGCCAGGGTGGATCCATAAACCAAACTAAGTGCATCGGCAGTGTTCACCAACTTGCTGCTGTCACTGGAAAACATAGAACTAGCTTTGCACATCATAGCCTCCCCGGGAAAAACGCCATCACCATGGCAATACTAGCAGTACCCACCCCAATAGTTCTGCTCAGCAAGCAGTTTGATGGACAGGCTTATCCCCTCCTACCCCACAGGCAACCCATCACTTCAGCATAGCCCACATGGAATAAAAATATATTTGAAATATATTTGAAAAATATTCTTCCCAAATATGTTGACATATATTTAAAATGCTACAATTTTGGTCGTATTCAATTTATTTCAAAATATATTTAAATATACACACACACACACACATATATATATATATATATATATATATATACATACACACACACACACATATATATATATATATATATACACACACACATATATATATATATTAAAATATATATATATATATATCTGTATGTTGAAATGCGTCTTTATTACAAAATGTATAAAAAATATTATTAAAAATACATTTTCAAATATACTGTATTAATGCATTTGCAAATATATGTTAAAATTACTTTTTTATATGTTAAAAAAAAATCTGAAGAATATATTTAAAAATTAGATATTTTTTAAAATAACTTTCATATATTTTGTAATATATAAAAAACGCATTTCAACATGCAGTATATATACAAATCTACATTTTTGGAATGCATTTACAAATATATGTAAAAATATATTTTTAAAAATATATATATTTTTTTTTATTTATTCTTCAGATTTTTTTTTTTAACATATAAAAAAGTAATTTTAACATATATTTTTACATATATTTGTAAATGCATTCCAAAAATGTAGATTTGTATTTTTAAAGACATACAGTATATTTGAAATGTATTTTTAAAAATATTTTTCATATACAGTATCTTGTAATAAAAACACTGTTCAACATGCAGTGTGTATATGTGTGTATATATATATATATATATATATATATATATATATATATATATATATATATATATATATTTATTTATTTTTTAATATATTGAATATGGACAAAATTGTAGCTTTTCAAATATATGTCAATATATTTGGGAAGAATATTTTTTAAATATATTTCAAATATATTTTTCTTCTATATTGGAATTTAAGATGTAGGTGAATAAAAATGCCTTTCAACATGCAGTGTATGTATATATTTATATATATATATATATATATATATATATTTTATTTTTTTTTTTCTTCATTTTTTGAAGTATATTGAATACTGCCAAAATTGTAGTATTTCAAATATATGTCAATATATTTGAGAAGAATATTTTTTAAATATATTTCAAATATATTTTTTCTTCCATGCAGTAACCCATGGTGAGCCACAATAGAAAAACGTACAAAAGAGCGTGACATGGATGTATGGAGATTTCCATGGCTTCGTCCTCATGCATCTGTTATAGACTGGACCAGTGGAGACATAACACTGGGAGAGGGGGATTCCATGCTTTCAACGGTGTATACGCAAGGCCTTCCCTTTCTTCCCTGTCTGTTCCTACAGATCCCTTCTCTGGGCTTCTACAGAAGAATGGATGTTTTTTATTAAAAAAGTAGAGATGTTGCCACCTTACTGCTTGTACCAGTGAGCTGCTGTCTAATATGACACTTCCCTGAGGTTGAGTATACACCCTATTACTTCTGTTGATACAAGCCAAGTCTACGTTTATTAGTGAGAGACTGAAGGCAACATTTATTACTAAGTGTATGTCACCTGGAGGGGCAAGATTCTTTGTTGTTGGGAAAAAAGTTGGTTATCTGTGCCCCTATATTGACTACCAAGGTTTAAGCGTGATTACTTTGAAAAATAAGTATCCACTCCCATTAATCTCAGAACTGTTCCACTGCCTGTAGGGAGCAACCATCTTCACTAAATTAAACTATGATCAGATCCACATAAGTGATGACGATGAATGGAAGACAACTTTCAATAATTAGCATGGCCAGTGCGAGTATTTAGTCATGTAGAATGGATTCTATGTCTATGTACCTTCTATTTTTAAAAATTTTGGCAACAATACGTAGTTGTACATCTGCGTTGTGGTAGATGACTGTAACGGAACCGGACCCAGTCTGCACTTGGGTATTTCCATTATACTACTGCTTTCCCGTCCGAACACCGACCACAGACTCCACAGCTGACCAAACAATCCTAGAAGACATCAGTCTGTATAAACATGGAACTCTTTATTTGAAACTCAAACTTACTTTTTATACACTCAGGACAAATCCCCCCTCCCTGCATAATGATACAGGGAGGGGCAATCTAAACTTAGCAACAAGAGACACACACCAACAGACAGTCCCATCAGGAGGGCTTCTGGAAACACCCCCCAACAAGCCAATACACAAACACATACATCCCATAATAGTTTGCTCCCAAGCAAGACACACAATAGAGCAATAGGATGCAACCACATGGCAGTAAACAATGAACAACCCCCACCCCACCTATACATGTCTACACAATATCAAGACATTTCACCCTGTACCCCTAACAGGCACAGGGTGACTTACACATAAGAGGGATATGGGGAGCTGAGACAGGGGTCTCCTCATCCCTCTAAAGTGAGCTGTGTTCCATGGGCCCCCCACCCAAAGTCACTCCCGTCACAATGACATACTAATTTTCTCTGCAGATTCACAGATTGTGATTCTATGTTTGCAAGAGAATGGTCTTTGGGTTAAATGTGAAGAATATTTCTACAAGCTTAGATGTTCCCTTTCTGGATTAAACAGTCTCCGTCCATGGTTTTCTTGGGTCAAAGTCCCCGTGATCCTGAACAAGCCTTCAGAGATTCCTCCACCTTAGTAGCTCTCATTACCACCCTACCCAGGAAAGAAAACAATGTGGTTGGCCTCCAGAAACAAACCAGACCTGTTGAAAAAAAAATCGTTTGCATATGCTCCTGTCCTTGTCTGCCCCAAATTGCCACTGCTCAGCCATTCTTCCTGGAGCAGGATTCTTTTTTGGTGGGAATTGCAGATGTCCTTTTACCAACAAAATGCTGCTGCTCATGTCCTGTGATTGCTTATGTTAGAAAATTTTTGCCTACTGAGAAAAATGATTTAAGGCCTAGAGTTACTAGCCATAAAGCTGGCTCTTGAAGAGTGGTGGCACCTTCTGGTGGGAGTACTATTGCATATTACTACGTCCATTGCTAGACAGGGTCAGTTTGGATTTGTTTGTGTGTGGTTTTTTTACAGGCTAGCTGGTAAATGTTTTACTTGTTTCGAATGTGCAAAGCATTTCCATGTGCACCTTACTACAAAGGGTAGTTGTGGATTGGGGTGCTTGCCATTTTTTTGTATAGTTTCCACGCTGGATTTGGCATGGTGACACATTGAATGCCTTCAGCTGCCACTGTGCTCTTGCGGGCTTCTAGTGTAGCCCTATGCCTTTAAGTAGGGATGGGATCCCTCCAGGCATACCTGCCCTCAGTTTATCCACTGCTATATATACTTTGAAACTCTCCAATTATAGAGTAAGGGCCACACTATGCCGAGGAGCCTTGGCGAGGCAGAGATCTTTCAGTCTGCATGGTCTTCCTTCTCATATAGTCTCTGATAGGGGAAAGCAGTTCACTTTGTTTTGTTTTTTTGGATGTTGATTTATCACTTTCTGGATATCCAGCTGGATTTTCTTTGGCCTATTACCCACAATCCAGTTGTCAAACAGTGATTTAACCAGAATGCATAAAAAGGGGGGGGGGGGGTGTGCAGCGCTAAATTAATAAATACACATTCATATAAACCAATGTTAAGGTGCTGATAAAGTGCAAAAAGGTGACTATAAATAATGAGTATAGTCCATAACGTGATCAAAACCCAAGAGAGTCTTCAAAGAACTCCAATGGCTGGATTCGTGGATGCGGTGATAAAGGTATAAAGATTGCGCACTCACCAGATACGCAATCCAAATGCGCATTCAAAACAGAAATCCTAGGGTCCTCA